AGATAACACCGAGAAAAATAGGAAACAAAGCTACGTATCATCACATTTCATTGAAGAAAAATACACACACAAGGAAAAATAGCTGAAAGGAAATAGCTCCTTGCAGTTGGCCTAGCACCGTTGGGTGGTCCTCTTGCGTGTTCCTTCCTTCATTGGTTCACCTTTCTAGAATGAACATAAATGGCTTTTATCCTTGGACAAAGTTTTTTTAGAAGGTCCAGAAGGGAAAATCTGCTCATTGGAATCCAGAGAACTTCAGTCAGCCCTCCCCCCGCCACCCTCAGACTTCTGTTAGAAAGTTCCTTGCTCCTCTCACATTAAAGGGAGACAATATTGCCCCATTATGAAGCAATCAGCCAGTAGGGTTCATCCAAGAGCAATAAAGTGACTTCTCAAGAGAAAATGAGCGAGGCTTAGGTGTTGGAGCAGGAAACCCCAACTGAGCGGACTGACAGACCCCTCAACAATCGGCACCACATACAACACGCTTTCTGGTGTGGGCACTGTATTTTCCATTTCATCTTAAGTGTTTCAAGTGACTGTGATTTTACTGCTACATTTTAGACCCATCAACAAGCTATTAATCCATCTTCCCTGAGTACTGAGAATATGATAACTCCAGCCAACTTCAGATACATGCCCATCTGACTTCCTTGCCTGGCCCTGCCAGCTGAACAACTCTCTCGGATCTGATTCAGATCCTGCCGCCCCTGCTTAGCTGTAGGACCCCATCAAGTCACTCGACCCACATCATCTGAGGTTTCCTCATCTGTAAAGCAGAAACCATTTCACCTACCTCATAAAAGTTGCTATAGGCATTACATGAGATGGGACATATTAGGGAGTGTGTTGAGTGCACACAGTAGGTACTCATTAAAGGCCTGCTCATTCTGAAGTGTTGGACTAGTTTCAACAAGTGTTTTCCTGATGGAGAAGATACTCAAATTCCCAACTCTGACTTTTTCCATTTTCCTGGATGATACCAGAGGGCCACAGTGGACAGTGCAGCCCAGGACTTTGAGAAGTAAAATTCTAGTTGGTGTGAAACCTGGGGCTTAGTCATGAGACTAGATTAATGAGTCTCAATCTCCCGCTCCCCTCTCCCACCCACACACACACACATTCAGTGAGTCTTCACTGAGCACTTTCACTGTTGATAAGACCTAGAATTGGAACCCTGGCCATGAGGATGAAAGCGATGACGTGGAGTCACATTTGAGGCGCAATCAATAGTGTCAGAGGAAGGACAGGCAAGAGTAACATGGCTAACCTGGATGACCACACGCACAGTGTATTCATTCAGTCAAGCATCGTTCAATATTCCTCTTGGGGCAGAGGATCCCAGGGAGAACCCAACAGGAGGGCTGTCTGCTCTGCTACAGCTTCCTTTTCAGTGGAGATGACAATCAACACAGACACAAGGCGATTTCTGATTGTTGCAACTGTGACATTGGAAATAAACAGGTGAAGGGGTGGAGAGCCAGAGGAAGGTCTCCACTTCAGACACAATGGCCAGAGAAGGCCTCTCCTCAGGGGCCGGGGGAGGCGTGACGGGCGGCTGAGTTCTGAGAGAGAAGCAGCAGCCCACAGCAGCAGAGAAGGGGCAAATCCAGGAGGGTGGAACAGCAGGTTCAGACATCTTCGCACGGGCAAGGTGAAGGATGTTTAAGGAAAGACACGATACGGAAAGGACAAAGGAGAAATGGAAAGGTTTTATTAGCCAAGGATGAAGCCTAGAGAAGGTTAAGTTTGTGGATACTTTGCAAGCATCTCCAGACTCAAGATCCAGCGCTACTTCCTGTATTAAGGATTTGAGAAAGTGCCCAGCTGTTATTGGGATCATAAGGCAGTGTTCCAGAAACATTTCAACATCAAGGAATACAGATTTCTGAAGCCAATACCATGGCGTAGCAGCTCAATATTCCTCCTGCAGCATCGGTATCCCATACAGATTCCAGTTCACGTCCCAGCAGCTCCACTTCTGACCCAGCTCCCTACTGGCCTAGGAAAGCAGTAGAGGATGGCTCATGTCCTTCAGCCTCTTCATCCATGTAACCCAAAAGCAGCTCCTGGTTCCCAGATTCAGCCTGGCCCAGCTCTGCTGTAGCAGCCATTTGGGGGAGTGAACCAGCAGATGAAGGATCTCCTCCTCTGTGTCTCTCCCTCTCTCACTTTCAAGGAAAATAAATCTTGGGAAAAAATACAGATTTCTGGGGAATACCAAAAATTCTAACTCAAAACCCTTTTCCCCCCAATACTCCTAGGTAATTCTGGGACATCTAGTCAGGTAATTTTTTTTTATATTCTTATGTGTCAGGACATTTAAGAATTATTTTTAAAGTTCCTTATTTGAAAGACTAACAGAGAAGTGGAGACAGACAAAAAGACAGATCTTCCACACTCTGGTTCACTCCCCAAATTCCCACAGCAGCCACACTGCAAGTCTGAATCCAGGAGCCAGGAACCCTGTCTAGATCTCCCATGTGGATGGCAAGAACCCAAGTACTTGGACCATCATCTCTGCCTCCCAGGCTCATCAGTGGGAAGCTAGACAAGAAGCAAAGAAGCCAGAATTTGAACTAGCTCTCCAGAACGGGACACCCAAGCAGTGGCTTAATTAATATGACACAATGTCCATCATCAAGACATTTCCAAGTGCTGAATATGCGGCTCTGAACACGTTTGAGAGCTCACGGTCAAAGGAAAGAAAAGTGGGGCCTGGCACTGTAGTCTAGCAGTTAAAGTCCTCTCCTTGCACATGCCAGGATCCCATATGGGTGCTGGTTTGTGTCCCAGTGGACCCACTTCCCATCCAGCTCCCTGCTTGTGGCCTGGAAAAGCAGTGGAGGACGGCCCAAAGCCTTGGGAGACCCAGAAGAAGCTCCTGGCTCCTGGTTTCAGATCGGCTCAGCTCCAGCCATCGTGGCCACTTGGGGAGTGAATCCGTGGACAGACCTTTTCTCTTTTCTGTCTCATCTTCTCTCTGTATATCTGACTTTCCAATTAAAAATAAATCCAAAAAGAAGTGAATGAAGGTTACCTTTGTAAAACATGCCACACACATGCATACATGCCTGCTAATAAAACATGAGATTATGGGAACCCATGCTAGACCCATTCCAAGAGAAGCTCTTTACTTAAAGAAGTGACTTTTTTTTTTAGATTTACTTATTTTTATTGGAAAGGCGGATATAGAAAGAGGAGGAGAGACAGAAAGGAGTATCTTTCGTCCGGTGGTTCACTCCCCCAAGCGACCGCAATGTCTGGAGCTGAGCCAATCTGAAGCCAGGAGCCAAGAGCTCTTCCAGGTCTCCCACATGGGTGCAGGGTCCCAAGGCTTTGGGCCGTCCTCGACTGCTTTCCCAGGCCACAAGCAGGGAGCTGGATGGAAAGCAGGGTCACCGGGATTAGAACTGGTCCCCATATGGGATCCCGGCGCGCAAGGCGAGGACTTTAACCACTAGGCTATCGTGCCGCGTCCAGCAAGTGACTTTTGAGTTCACACCTGGAGCCCTTTGACAGTTTTGGGGAACGGCCTTCCGGACCGAGGGAATAGCCGATTCAAACATTCAGCTGACAAATTCAACAATGAGCATCATCATCTAGTTATTCCCACTTGGTGAACCAACCCACGAGGGACCCAGCAAAGCAGGAAGTTCTGATTTCTCTCCAGTGTGTCCAGCCTGCAAGCTACAGGGTGATGCCTCGTGCTGCAGGCAGCGTGCCAGGCAATGACACCAAGATGAGTAAGGTGGTCCCTTCTCCCCAGGGCTTTGCAGTCCAGGGAAGGAGGCAGCCAATCCAATCAGCAAGCCCCAGGAAAGAAGTGAGACTATCCCAGTGGCCTCGTGTTCTGAGAAAGCCCAGCAAAATGCCTAATATTTGCAAGTGTGAGGATGTAAGCAATTGTTTTTGTACACGATAATGTCACGTTCAAGCCTTGGTGGTCCTGCCGGCCCAGAGTTATCTGCCCATTTGGAGAAATACTCGCCACAGCGAACATCTGATGAGAAACACTGTGCAACTGACTATGTGAACATTCACCGAACGCGCACTCAGGCTTAACTGGATTAACACGAAATCGCACAGGCTCCTCACTACACTCCCACGGAGCAGGGACTAATTTGTGTTTCAGATGGGACTAGGCAAGGAAAAGGGGCTTTTCTGAGGTCACCCAATTCCTAACCCTGCCTTCATTCTGGTCCTTACTGCCAATAATGAGTGGCTCCAATATTGATGTATCTGCTTTCCCTACCACAGTTCCTCTCTCCACTCCCATCCCATCTGGGTTGTCTCCACCTGCTCCATCTGTCTGCATTCTATATAGGTGGAACAGTGGAGAGGGTAGCAGTTCCTGGCTTCCACATTTAGAAAAATAGATTGGCCCTGATAAGGTGATGCCCCACGATCTCTTCACCTGGGTCTCCAGGCTCTTGTGCCCAGGGAGACCTGGCAGCCAGGGAGGCCTGGCAGCTGGGGCCCCGAGCACCAGGATTCTGGCTCCCAGTGCAGGAAGCTGCCATGGAGTAGATTCCTGGGGCTGCCGGAGGCAAGGGAGGGGAGCAAACAGAATGCCAGGCAGTCTACTGGGGACACTGACAGCCTGGGTATAGTCCATTCAAATCCAGTGGCTTTAGAGAACTAAGTCAAGCACCTTCCACCAGCCAGCTGGCTAGTGGGAATTTAAAGGGCCCTACACCTCATTTTCCCCTTGGACTTTTCAGTGGGGGGTCTGCCCGCCCTTCTAACGTGCCTTCTCCAGTTTCTCAGGCAGACTGGCTTCCCTGCCCCCTCCTCTCTCCCTCCCTGCTTGTGGGGAGGCTCTTGGCCCAAGGCCCTGAGCTGGGGCGGGCGCCTGTGGAAGAGCAAGCTGCAGGAGGGGTGAGATCATTTCTCCCTGGAGCTCTGCACCAGCGGCTTTTCAGAACCACTCAAGACGCGCTCAGGGCAGCCAGAGTCCCAGCCCGCGCCTTCCCGGCGCGCTTGCCCCGGCTTTCCCCATGTCTCAGTACGGCCCCAAGTCGGACTTCAAACAGCCTTCGGACAGCAGCCCTGAGGCCAACACAGAAGATGACAAGACCGAGGAGGACGCACCCATGCCCAGAAACTACCTGTGGCTCACCATCATTGCCTGCTTCTGCCCCGCGTACCCTATCAACATCGTGGCTTTGGTCTTCTCCATCATGGTGAGTCAGTCGGGGCTGCAGCTGTGGCAGTGGTGGTGGTGGTATGCACCTTGCTGCACCCCTCCACTGTGGCCCTGTGAGCATGCTGAGTTTCCTGTGCCCTGCACCTGCCCCCAAGTTTCCCTAACATTCCCACAACTCTGCCCGAGGCCATCAGCACCAATGCTGCTCCTGCTGTTTGGAGGACAGGGGGAATAATCAGGAGAATTAAATACCCCTTTGGGGTCCCTGGCTCCACGCTGTGGCCCAGGATACCCCCTAGGCTGCTGACAGTTGCTACTGCTCCAGGCCCTTCTCGGGGTGCCCCCAGCACGGGTCTCACTAGCAACATGTGAGTATTCCATTGTCTTTCACTTCGGACAGGAACGTGTTGCACTTCTGCCAGCCCATTTGCTGAACTCGGACCTTATCCCATCCAAGATCCCCAGAGTCCCCCTTACTCCTCCACCCTGCTCCCGGAGTGCTTGGGGGACCCAGCACTCGCTGTTGTACCCGGTGTCCCCCGCATGCCATCCTTCAGCGCCCTGCGCTAGCGCTCAGTACTACCGCCGCTCACCACCAGGAGGGGAAACGCTGATTGGAAAAGCTGGGGCGCCCAGTGGCTGTGGGGGTAGCTGTGGAGTGAGGTTCGCGCAGGCACTGTTCCAGGACAATCCAGGCAGTCACGGTCCCTCCCCCGCCTGCCAGTGCACCACCAGGCAACCCCTCACAGGCAAGAGCCTCTGCTCCCCCAGGTTTCTTGGAAGCACAGGGCCCCTTCCTCGGCCCCGCCTCCGCCCTCCTTCCATGTCTCCCGCCACCCCTCACCCAGCTTTCTAGGTTCCAATCGTTCGTTCGGCTGCGGGAGAGCTGTGCGGTGTCCCAAAATCGCTTCCATTTTTAAACCTGGGGAAAATTGCAGCCATATTTCTTGGAGCTGCTGTGAGCTTTAAGGATATAGATTCGAACATTAATCTAAAATCCTTGCTCAAAGCGTCAACATGTAGGCTTTCTTGGCCAGTGCCAACAACCAATCCCATCTAACCCCCACCCCCCCCCAGACCCATTCTCTCTCTCCTACACATTCAGAATAGCAGTTCTCTGCTGCTGGTATCTCCCATAATTGAAGTTCGGTGGTGGCGGGGGGTGGTGAGGGGGGACTGGAATGAAAGTTCATTTGCGTATCAAAACTTTTTGAAAGCCAAAGTTTGTTCAAACTAATTTTCTATAAACTGCTGAAAGGCACGGCAACTATATCCGGGATTTTTTTTTTAATTGTGCCAAAGTGAATTTTTCTTTTCATTCTGCCTTGCATGGACTTCTAGAAGTTCTGGAAGCCATGGAACCAGGTTCCTTGAGGTCAACAAGCCCATTTCCTTCCTTCCTTCCTCCTCTCCCCTGAAACCCCGCCCTGAGTGGATCTTTCTTTGCAGGAAGATTGGAAGCGATACAAGCAGCCAATTTCCCAGGCTGCAGCAGATTCTGTGGCTGGCACCGGTGCCCACACTCCCTCCTGCTTTATTCACAGAGCAGCCAATTCATCTTTTTTCTCCATGCCACTTAGAAAACTGCCCACAAGGGCAGTTCCCCGCAGTGGTCTGAGACAAGTAAATGCTCCAACCCGTGCTGACCAGATCCTGAGCCCACATTTTTAAATCCCTGTTCCATTTTTTTTTTTTTAAGTTTGCTATAGCAATGGGGCGATGTGACTTCCAGCACGGGTGATAGTCAGTTGACTCTGAGAATGTGTCATTCCCTTTTAAAACCTTGGAGTTTTCCCCTATAAAGCCAAAACGGGAAAGGTGTTTCAGGTTGACTAAAATTGTCATAGAGACAAAACAGAATCGGGCACATCAAGCCCCCAGCCTTATACTAGGTTTGTGCAAAAATTGTCACACGGGAGAATTTGGAACCCGTGGACTTCACAGATCATATAGGAAAATAGCCAAAAAGCAACAAACAAGTAAAAATCCAAGCTTTTCACCCTCGCTACTGCCTGCCTCTCAAGGAAGCAATGCATACCTGGGCTCCAAGATTCTAAGGGACAAAGAGGAAAAGGAAGGGTGCCTGCCTGGTGTGTTCCCTCCCCAGGGTTTTGTCACGTCACGTGCGTTTCTGTGGAGTCTATGATAAACAGCAGGTGCTGGCGGGTCCTAACCAGAGGCTGCATCCTTCCCTGTGGGGACAGCTCACCTACACTGATTCCTGACACTGCGAGGAAACAGAGGAAGAGAATGCTCACACCTTGCAATTCTAAGATCACGAGGACACACCCAAAGATCAGTGGCACCCCAAAAGTGCCACACTGCAAGAGAAGGCAAATTAAGAGCCACATGAATGCGTGTGGAAGATATTGACAAGGCTCAGAATAACTAGTCTGCAGAATGGCAACAAGAACAATCAGTAGCTCCAGATACAGTAAACAAAGCACAAGAAGCCTTTTAAAAAAAAAATGTACCAGGGAGGAATGGGGGTGAGGGGCTAGAGAATAAATTTAATTTGAAAAATGCGCAGTCAAGAAGGGTGTTCCTCAAGTCACAGGCATCTTTGTTGTCCTACCCCAGGTAGAGCCAAAGGGCTCAGCAGGCAGCATGCCCCAGCTGGAAACTAGCACATCATGCCTGCCTGGTTAGATCCGAATGTTGGTGGGTCTAGCGTCACCTGCAGCAAGAACACTCAGGTCTTTACTCCTCCATTAAGGGAATCCTGCTTGTTTTAAAAAGAACTTTTACTCAGATCAGGGGACGTACATCTCAAGAATTACCCCCTCCAATCCTGTGCTCCTGTTCATCCATTCTGAGCAATATTCACACATTCAATAGTATGTCCCTTCCTGAAAGCAGACACAGTCCTGCACCCAGCATGAAGTAAATGGAGACCAGTAGCATTCCAGATCTCAAGCAACCTGCCCCTACCTATCCCAGTTATCTCTGCACATTTCATTTGAAAGGAACCCCATCATTTTCTAATATGGAAATCTCCCCCACATTGAGAAAAAGATATTCACCCAACCCAACTTGTTTTGTACCAAGTTGCTTCCATCCAGTGGTACATTCCTGTATCTCTATCAAATGCTAAGATCAGCATATCTCTGGCCAACTTGCAGGAATGTTGACAAATTGCAGATGAATTCACCATCTGCTGGTTTGGGAACTGGGGTCTTTGATTCAGAAGGTCGGAGTTGAGTCCGTGTCCAGCCTCAGTTCTTGCTAGCATCGTGCAGTGACGTGTACCACTGAATCATTAGTGATTTAAACGTAGGTTCAAAACTGTCCATTAATTCAGTTCCATCACAGGGTCAACGCATCAGCATTGGGTTCTTTCATCAGAGCCCCTTTTCCCCCCCTCACACCTACAACACCTGCTTAGAAACTACCCTCTGAGGCCTAATGCCTTTTCTGCTATTTTCTACATTTGGGAGGTTCTTGCAAATGCCTCTATCATTCTGAAGCTTGTTTTTTTTTCCACCCTGTAAAATGAAGGTTGGGATAGTTCTTACCCACAAGCAATTGTAGAGAGTAAATGATAGAAGTTTACAGTTTGGGCTCATTGCCTAAAACACACCTGAAACTTAAGAAAATGATGATGATACACATATTCTAGGAATATAAATCATTACTTTTTCCGTTGGCAGTTTGTTTTTAGTGGGACTAAAAACTTTTACATTAACAGCGAAAATAACAACTGACATGTGAGTGAAATAAGTACATTTCAGCCTAAATATAAATATTAATGCTAAACTGAAATATGCAAACAATAAGGCAGCACCTTTAGTCAGGTATGGAGAATTAAGCATACCTATCTCTCTCAATCCCTTCAGGAACCCTTCAAAGGTAATCTTACATGGGTCCAAAAGGTTGTTGAAAATCGAGGTCGAAATTTGGAAAACACGGGTGGAAAAATCTGGAAGGATTGAAAACAGTCACTTGAGCAATGACGAACTTCACAGAGCAGATGACAACCATCTCTAAACCCTGCAGAAAACACAACCAACAAGGAGGAGCCGCTCCATTGCCCCTGCAAAATCCTAGGAAGACTCAGAAAGCAAAAATGCCAGTGCAAGTGCTCTCCTTTGAGGGAATAAGGGGCAGAGCAAGGTGGGAAAACACATATTTGTTAGAAATGTGTTTAGGTCATTAGACCAGCCCACAGAGCTCAAACACCCAACCAAGGAGTCAGGTTCCTACTTTCTCTCCCACCATGACAGAGAAGGGAAATGTGTAATTATACAGAATGGCCCTAGACATAGAGTGGAGCTAAGGTGCTTTATGGAAATGGGGTTGGTGGGAAGTTGGCCTGTTCTTCAGGGAAGCTGCCATCCTCACTTGGCACCTGCTATGGTTTGGATGTGAATTATCCTTCCCTGCTTCAGAGTTCCTATGCTAGAGGCTGCGTCCTCCATCTGGCAGGGTAGAGGGGAGTCTTTGGTGCGGCAATATCCAGCCCTCCTTTGTGCTCAGGCTTCCCCGTCACCCCCTGCAATGAGATCCTCCCTTCCTGCATGTACTTCTGTGATGATGTCATCAACCATAAGGCAGCCCTTGCAAGAGCCAGCACTAGACTCTTCGGACTCCCAGCCTCCAACGCTGTAAGCTCAAGAGGCTTCCTTTCTTTATAAGGACCTAGTCTCAGGTATGTTGTTAGAATAACAACAACAACAACAAAAGAAATGACCAGACTCCTGGAGCTCCCTTGCTCTGGCATCCAGACAGCAGATGGGAGATTTCCTAGGGATGTGACCAGCCAAAAGGAAAAAACCTTTACAAGTCTTCCAGAGAAACAGTAATGGCTGCACTCAGTCATTCTGTGGTCCACCCACTGACAATGGCCTTTCTCATAGCCAAAACTTCTAGGCAGTTTTTTCAGCATCTCATTTTCACATTTGAAGAGGCAGACAAAGGTTCTCAGGCATTTGAGCAGTTCTTCTAAACTAACAGACCTGTGTTTTACAGAAGAAGATAATGTTAGGATTAGCTAACATCCTCCGAGATCAGCAGCTATGTTGTATCCACGACCCAGAC